GCACGCAGCGGCCCGCCCATGACCTGCTCGCCCGCACAACCTCGAGTGCTCGCTGTGTCCGGAAGCGTCCCGCCGGCCTGCAGGCACCGATTGTCGCACGTGTGTGAGCGCGGAGCCTGCGGCTTTCGAAAGGGTCGACCAGGGCCCGCGGCGCGATCCGCACATCGCGAAGGCTTCGCTTGCTTGCAGTCGCGGTCACGCTGTACCCCCGACCGCGCCTCTCCAGCATTTCACCAGTCGTATGTCGCGGCTCGGTCACTCGAGCAGAAGCCAACGAGACCCTCCTTTCCGCCTGCAAACTCAAGCCCAATGTATAGCGCTGATCATCATCAGTGATGCCGGTGTTAGTCGATCTAACCTTCGAGGACCGTGACAGCAGAACGACCGCGAGTACATACCAATTCAGCAAGGCTGTGCTTGCTGCTTGATGGATGGATCGAAAACCCAGCTCCAAAGGTGCCTCTCGTCTCACGAACACTTCCCGCGGGGCTCGGAAGCGGCGTTGCAGCGCCGTCTCGTGATAAGCCAGCGATATTCGTGATGGAAAGGCTCGGTTTCCCGAAAGATGCGGACGTTGCCCTACCCGCATCAGACTCTATGCTCGGGCGGCCGAGCATGGCGCGGGATGGGAGCGACGCCATCGAGCCGCCCACACCGGACATGTTGACCACAATGCGGCATGTAGCCTGCTGCTGCATGCGCTTCGCTGCTGCACCGTACTTACCCCTCACGGACAGCGGATGCGCCTGCAAGGGGAAGAGCAGCGGACACTCCCACATGGCTCCATGCTCCAAGGCTCCGACGCAAAGCATGCCGTCATAAACCCAGCCATGCAGCGGGTGATCGGAGCGGTACTGCAGGACCGTCCCGCCGACTCCGGGCACTCCTGAGCCGATCAGCATGACCCAGTCCAGGCCGCGATTCGGATCGCCTTCTTGAACGATGAACGGGTCCCTCCATCCCACGAGCGCCATGTCACGTGGTGGACCACTGATCAGCGGGGCATGTCTTTTCTCCCATCGCACCAGCTCGCGGTCAGATCCCGGGTCGACAGCGGTTGCGCAGAGTGTGTTTTCGATGAAGGGGAGCGAGGGATTGTAGCCGTGGTCTTCGACGTGCCGAGGGGCTTTTGCCTTGAGGGCCACCCCCGTGTAGAATATATGGGGCTTTCCTTCGTGCACCAACGCGCACCCGCTGAAGCAGCCGTCCTGGTCCATGGTGTTATCATGCGGCTGCAGTGCCCAGGGCAGGTGTCGCCAATGCACCATGTCCTCTGACACCCAGTGGCCCCACACAATTCCGAAGTCCCATTCGGGCTTTCCGGGCACGTGCTGGTAAAACAAGTGGTAGAGCCCGTCAAAATACAGCGGGCCGTTCGGGTCATTGATCCAACCGCTCTTGGCCTGCAGTTCCGGCGTCCCGAGGAGCAAGGGCGGCGAGCATGGTCGATGCAGACGTGCAGCTGCGAGGAAAAGTTCTCATGGTCCACGGAGCACTTGGTGCGCGAGCCGCAGGCGCCTCGGCGAAAGGCTGGCAGACCCGCCGAGAGCGGGCAAGCGCAGTCGTTTGGTCGTCGCGTTGCGCACCTGAAGGTGATACTGCGGCCGATCCGGGTCCGCACTTGGACAAGGAACCATTTCAAACGACCATTCGAAGGAGTACACTCCCAACCACCGAGGAGCCAAGGCGCAGCAGAGCGGTCAAACTTGCAGGTGTCAGGGCTCGCTTTCGAAGGGACCCGTCGCTTTCGAAGGGACCCGCCGGGCGGCTGACGCGTCGCCGCCAACTCCTGCCGGCGCTTGACGTTTCTTTGCCGAGCGGCACAGATGCGTGCTCGCTGGATTGAAGCGCGCCCCCCGACGAGGTTCTTTTGATGCACTTGAGGATTCTGAACCGCGTCGAACCAATCCAGATCTCTGACTCATTCAGAAGATGGAGTTCCGCATTCGACGATTCGCACAAGTCGCGATGCTACGCCTTCCCAATGGCTGAGCCGCTCTCCAGGAGCTGGAAGGGGGGACCCCCGGGTGGCCAACACTGTCCGACGCCGCGTCACGCGGCGACGCCCCGGGGGGGGCCAAGTTTGCGCGCCTTGGGCGGTCGATGGAGGACAGCGTGACTAGGCCAGCCGTTTCGGCACCCCGTGACCGACGCGGCAGCTGCCTGGGCACTGCAAGTTGGGATCAACACGTCGTGCGCCTGCTCGCTACAGGGGTGAAGCGCGCAGCAGACTCGATCGTCGCGCGCGGAAGATGTCGCCATGAAGGCACAAGCACTGTGCGTCGCACAGACGGAAGCGTGTCCATGGAACTGACCCGAGCGCGGAGCCAGCCCCATGCACCTTGTTGTGGTTCACGTCACCACGATGGGAGCGTGCGACGCGGATGGAGGATACAGCGAGGCGATCGCGGATACACCATAGATGAGGGTGATGCAGGACGCCGGGGTGCGGCGGCGCAGACGGCGGAGGCTTCGGCCCAGCTTGGAGGCAGCAACGTGCATCGTGGTCATGTTCGTCGCTGCCCAGGTGTTTCTCCTTCGCATGTTCCCACGTTTCTCTGCCCCAGATGGCGTCGATCCAAATTTGCACGGCGACGTGGTGAGTGACTCGGTCTCTTCGTCGAGGGGCTCTGCCCACCAACCTGCGCTCGGCGGCCCGCCCCGGGACACTCTCCTGGTCATCCACGAAGGACCTTTGCAGCCTGACGTGTACGGCTGCGACGTACGGCTCGGCCAGGTCGTCGAGGCTGCGCTGCAAGAGGGCATGCGGGTCGCGTACTGCTACCGCTTCGGGCCAAGTGACCCGGAGCTGCACGGCGCCCTGCAGCTCCCCGGCGTGGATGTCTACGGACCGATCCTTTCCTCCGACCTCGTCCACGTGCCCGCCTTCCGGGACATGCGCGTGTCCATCGCCCTCCTCATGACGTGGTACTGGGACAGCTTCCCCTTGCGGCCCTCGATACCACGAGAGTTTGCGCCCGCTCTGCGCGCGATCGACCCCTGTACCTTCGTGGTCGTGGCATCCGACGACATTCACTTCCTCCGCGAGTCCATGATGGGTGACGCAATGGACGACCAGTCGCATCGGGACAGGGCCCGCACGGTCGGCGACGCCGAGCGGGAAGACGTTGGCGCCGGCCACGCGCTCGTGGCAGTCTCACTGGAAGACGCGAAGCGCATGGAGACACACTTTCGCGCGAAGGCGGGGCTGCTGCCGCTGGCAGCAACGGGCTGCGCAACACTGCGCTCCGTCCCAGGGCCAAAGCACAGGTCGGGCTACCTGTTCGTTGGAAACTTCTACAATCCCGTGAACGCGCTGTCGCTCAGGTTTCTGGTCAAAGAGGTCTGGCCCCAGCTTCGGAATCGCGTGCGTCAAATATCACCGGGTGCGAAGCTCCATGTCATTGGCGATGCCGGCCCAGTCAGTCTTGACGAGTTGAAGCGGATGTACCGCATCGATGACGAGGAACTATGGACGGACGTCGAGCTGCACGGGCATGTCCCTGACATGACGCCGTACCTGGATGCAGCGCGGGTGTTCGTGTCTCCGATTGTCGCTGGAACAGGCATCAACACCAAGAACATCCATGCACTTTGCCGCGGCCTGCCGGTGGTGACGACAACGATCGGAAGCGAAGGTCTTCGCCTGGCAAAGGACCAAAAGCGCCTCGACAGCAGCCAGGCGGCAGTGCCGATTGCGGATGACGCCGAAGAGATCGTGCAAGCAGCAGTGCACCTGACTCAGGACGACGCTCTCTGGAGCAACGTGCAAAAGAACTCGCTCGAGCACATGGCGAGAGAATTCCGCCTCGAGAGCGTTCGTGATGGGTTGCGGGAGCTGCGTCGCTCCAGCAACTCGCATGCTCATCTGTGTTTGAGTGACCCGGCCTACTCGCCACCAAGCGCGCGACACGAATAAAGGGCGGCATGGAGGCTCCCTCTTCGAACGGGCGATGCTCCGAGACTGTAAGGCACAATCCTGTGACATACTTGCTCCACACGATGTCATTTTCCCTGCCCGTGCACAGAGTCGTATGCGCGCCTGTTCGTCATGCGGAACCCCCGATCGTGCGATGATTTGATCCTTGCCCGGCCAACCCCTCGTCTGTCCCACACGGTCGGCGCCTCGCACGGGCGAGTTTGCCCGTCACGCGGGTCCGTGACACTTCACCCCCGTGCAAGCCAAGGGTGAGAGTGCTGAGGGCCGAGAACGGCGACGGCGGTGCAGTACCTGCACGGCATGACGTGTACAGGAAGTGCATGTGCCAAGGCTCAAGACATGTCGAGGCGGTTTGAGGTCCTGGACTCATCGACCAAGATCGGAGAGAGCCGCGAGCAACGACAGCAGTCAAGTACGCAGGCAGGAGACAGGAGAGTGAAGTGCAAATTCTGATGACCCAAGTGACCCACGAAGGCAGCCTCTGGTTGTCCTCGGTGCCGCTTAACGAGCCCCCGCGGCGAGGAAGCACTCGCCGGCGACCACCGATTTGCGGTGAGGTGAGGCGAGGTCAATGATTTGAGATTGTTGACCGGCGCCCCTGCCCGTGCGAAACGAAACGCATGCGGAGCACCAGGAATGTTGTCCCCACGACAGTCGCGACTCGCCTCATCGTCAGCTGAGTAGTGAAGCACTCCTCAGGAGCCAGGCTGGATGCCCGCGTTGAGCAGCGTCGCCCGGGCTGCAGTAGCCCGAATGGCTGGGATCATCGAATGAAGCGTGGCACGTCTTACAACGCGGCGCACATCTTGCGCCGGCTGCAGCCCAGCCAACGACCTCGTCAGGACGCCGTAGTTCGCTCGCCAGCCAGACCCTGCGACTTACTTCGCACAGTGGCGAACCCAGAGCCGTCATTTGTCGTGCACTCCAGTCGTGTCGGACAACTATGCCCCCCCTCCAGATATGAACGTTTCCCGAACCCCCCGTCCTGCAGCCCCCGGGTGCCCGACAGCTGCCCACCACCGTCATGCTGCTGCGCACCCGAGGCTGCATGACCTGCCGCTTACACCTGCGAAGGAACGAGTGATTGGTGCACGTTCCAAATAACCTCTGTCACCCGCAACGCTACACGTGGAGCGCGTCAAACGGACCACGCCAGCGGCGAAGCGTGCAATGCGATGTCGCGCTGCTCAGCCGCGAGCATGAAGTCCACAGCGCCACAGAGTGCGTCAGAAGGATCAATTGGAAAATTCATACTCAGCTCTCATCCGCGCAGCTACATCGCAGCCCTGCCTTGAGCACGCCGCGATGACGACATGTTCCACGTACCTTTGACCGCTTGCCAAGCGCTCGGTGCTCGGATACCACCTTCCTCTTCACGGGTGCCACCTTGAGAGACTTCCTCCCGGGTCCACAGCCACCCGGGGCAGCGAGCGTGGCAGCAGCGGCTCCATCCGCAACTTCGACAGAGTCATCAGCCTGCAGGACGTCCTCGCCTTCATTCTCCTCGTTTGGCCTCGAAACTTTGTTGGCAGATAGCTTCTTCAGTTTGCAAACGAAGAAGCCGTCCAGGTTGTGCGCATGGGGATAGAACCGGCGAGCGTGCCCCACTGATGGGTGGAACCGATACTCGCGGTAGCGTTGCAGGCCTGGCCGACCGAACTCGAGCCCCGTAGGCACAATCTGCAGCAAGATTCGTCGGGGAATGTGTGGCACGATTGGTGCGTGTGTGTCAGGATCGGAGGCCCGCGGGCGATAACGTTGACGCGTTGCCTGATATCAAAGTCGCCTGATATCTAGGAAGCACCGAGGGCCGATGACTTGCAGCTTCGTGGGGGGATTCCGCATGTATCTGAATGCCAACAAACACGGCCCCCATCGAGGCGCACTCGAGGGGACGCAGCTAGAAGACAGCTCGACACGCACCTTGACGTTGCGCTTCCTGAGAGCATAGTTAACGACATTCTCGTTCTCTTCGATGCACACACTGCACGTCGAGTACACGACGTAACCCCCCGTCTCGCTGCGGTGATCCACCATGTCGATGGCCTGCAGAAGCAGTTGCTTCTGCAGGTAAGAGCAGTCATAGATGTCCTGCTGCGACTTGTTCACCTTGACCGAAGGGTCCTTGCTGATCACACCCGTCCCACTGCAGGGCGCATCCAGCAGCACACGGTCAACGCTGCTCTTCCCGAGCACTCTGCACAGGGAAAATGAAGGCGAAAAGTCTCGAGCGTCATCGTCAGCGTAACGAACAGTCGGCGCCACGGGACGAAGGTGCTTCATGGCAAGCGAAGATTTGAACCCTTGCCTGCACAGCTCTCTGCCGTCGTAATTGCAGCACACCGTGTTCGTAGCACCCATGCGCTGCACGTTTGCACTGACGGCCTTGAGGCGATCTTTGCTAGGGTCGTTTGCGAAGAGGGTGCCTGTGTTCCGCATGAGCGCAGCAAGGTACGTCGTCTTGCCTCCTGGCGCAGCTGCCATGTCGACGATGGTCTCGTCTGGCTGCGGCGCGAGCGCGATGCACGGGAGAAAAGACGATGCCCCCTGCAGCATGTAGTGCCCCGCCATGTATTCTGGAGTGGCGCCCACTGGCACTTGGGAGTCGTAAACGACCAGGCCGACCTTGGACCATTTCCCAATGGGATCGAGATTGACCCCGCGATTGATTAGCGCTCCAGCCAGGTCGCGTCGTCGCGTCCGGAGCGTGTTGCTGCGAAGCGTCGTCGGCCTGCGGACCTCATTGGCCTCCACAAACTCGATGGCTTCGCTTGCGGGGAACAAGTTCAGGAGATAGTCGACCATGAAGTCGTTGTACCCATAGTAGGCTGCGATATCCTTTCGCAGCTGCGCGACATAATCTGCACGCGCGCGCCCTTGCTCCCTCCGCGCCGCAAAGTCCTCCAGGACGTAGAGGACCTCCTTGATGCGGCGCTGCACCGAGGTCAGGTCCAGGGATAGTCCGTCAGCGCCCTGATCGTCTTCGTCGGGCCGGGAGGCGTGCACATGTACGCCATCCACACCAGTTTCCTTCCGGGACCCGCTCCTGTCCTTCGTGCCCGTTTGCTTTCCGCCGCTGTCGCGGCCCGTCGCGTCAGAGGGTGCTAGGTCGGCATTCGGCGCCTGCGCACGTGGTTCCGCCTCGGAAGGGAACAGTGGTGCCTGACCGTAATCCCAGCCAGCATCACCATCCGAATCAGAATCAGAAACCCTCCTCCTCAGAACGTCACCGCCACAGCCTTCAGCATTTCGCGGCGACGAGCGGCCGGCCTCAGCCTCGCCGTCCTGGTCGGCAGCGACCGCCCCCGGCGCCTCGCGTGCGACAGCTCCACGAGCCTCTGGTGCATCGTCTTCCCTCCCCCTCCGGCCAGGTTGCCGGCTGCGCGTGCTGCGGTCCTCCGCCTTTCGCCGCGAAACGCCCGATGTCTGCGCTTTCGCGACACATGCTTGGCATGTTAGCAAGTGCGCCCGCACAAATCGAGCCAGGAGAGACTTTGCACAGCACTCGGATGGGCATGCGCGATGAGCGTACCCTGCTGGGTCTCAACGGCAGCACGGCCTACAAACAGCTGGTTGTCAAAGATGGAGATGCAGGAGCCAGCTGAAACTTTGCAAGGGCGCATGGAGGGAAGGGCACGGAACAGGGCGAACTGCAACATCCTCGCCATGCGGGGTTGAAGGCTTCACTGCTGCAGCCCTCCAGGCCCGAATGTGATGTACCTTGCTGACACCGCGCTGCTCCAGTCGCTGCGAACTGCGCGGAGTGCGGTCGGCGGCTGCCCGGCGGCTCCGCCTGAGGCCCTCTGCAGGAGGGCGGCCGTCTTCCTCTGTCGCTTCGGCCGCTGCCGGCGTACGAGCGCCCTTGGATGCCTTCTTCTTCGGCTTCATGGTGTCGGCGCAACGCCTCTGCTCGCGAGGACGCGTGCAGTGCGGCGCTCTCGGACCTCTCAACCTGCACCAGTGTAAGAACAGTGACTGCCACTGCTCTCGTAGATGACACGGAGCCTGTGCCGCACGTCAGTAGAGCCACAGGTGGAGCGCCCACGCTCCCGACATGAGCGCGCAGCTCGGCCACCAAGGCCTGACATCAGTGACTCCGCAGCATCATACTGTTGCAACCAGCCTCAGGCCAGCAATGCCATTGCTGGTCCAGCATCGGGGCTCCTCTTCGCGCATGTTCACGATTCGCGAGGGAGAAGGGGCACCGACACTCCATGAAACTCACATCAGACATGTCCTGAGAGCCCGGAGCGAGGGGTTTTCCCGGTGCACAGGGGCTGCGCGTGCTGTGTTTTGAACGCGTCACACCGGAGGTCACGTTGACTAGGTAAGGGGTGGCCGAGAGCAACGACGCGGTGGAGTACCCGCACGCAGGATCAGCAGCAACAGATGTCGGGGTCCTAGCACCTGCGCACGCAGCTCGAGTGAAGTCTTCGATCAGTGACGAGCCCCGCGGGCGTGCGGGTACTTGTCGGCAAGCCCCACCACGCGTCCCGATGTCGTCGGCCGGCGACCCTGCCATGTGAGCCACACGCATGTCGGTGACAGCCCCCTCACGTCACCCGCTACTCGGGCCGTTCCTGGAAGCACACATGGAGCAGCGGGTCCGCGTGGTGGTTGTCAGGAACTGGTGGGGGTGCAGCGCCATGGGAGCTTCTGCGTGTGGTCCGTACTGCAGCATGCCGATGACGGTGTCACGGGGGCTCCAGGGCCGCGGCACACCCGCACGGCCTGTTCAGCGGGCCCAGGAGCCACCGGGACACCGGCACCGAGCGTTGACGGGTCGGCAGTCCTTGCTTCCACACAGGGCTTGCATGCCACCCCGCGTGCGGGCTCGCATCGCGGCAGTTGAAAATCCGGGTACGGGAAAAGGTGCCGGTCATGTGGCTTCCGGAGCGGGTACTCAGGCCGCCGCGGGATGGATGGGACCAGTGGGACAAACATTTCATGATTCATAAGCTTTTCATTGACCACCCGCGCACGAAACGAAATGCAGGTGTGCTATTCATGATTGTATAGCAATCAACGTTCTGTAGCGTGCTCTCGCGAGTGCCATTCGTGCTCGCCGAATGCACGCTGCTCTCACAGGGCACATCGTTGATGCACCGACAATCACCGCACCGACGAGCCACCGACGCGCGCTACGCGAGACTCCATCTTGTCAGCACGGGCCTTCGCGACGGCGTTCTCGGGATCAAGCGCGAGCACCTCCTTGTAACACTCCAGTGCCGACTCCCACTCGCGGAGGACCTCGTACGCATCGCCAAGGTTGTTCCAGGCAGTGACGTAACCGGGCTGCAGCTCCACCGCCTTCCTGTACTCCTCGACAGCGTCCTCTGCCCGCTCCGACGAGAAGTAGCAGTAACCCAGTGTGTTGTGCACCTGCAGCGAGCAACTTGACTGTCTGACCAGTCTCGTCTGATCGGACGCAGCGCACCGAGGGAAAAGTCCGCGACACGGGCGGCGTTATCCGCATCGATCGCTCGCAGCACGCGGGTAGATTGTGCGACGAGAGATGTATGCTTGATCTCCGGGTTTTTAGCTGCAAGCTCTCCATGCGTCTTCGCGATCGTCCAACCCCACCTGCGCTAGCTCGGCCTCCTCGCCGTCCCACGTCTTGACCGCCTTCTGGATGTTCTTGATCGCCTGGGTGAAGAGGCGCTTGCGGGCAAGGATCGCGCCTAGCTCGAAATAGTCCTCGCAAGTCGCCTCACCCGTCCTGACGCGTTCTCCAAGTACTTGAGCGCCCATGTCGAGGGAGCGGCGCACGAGGACCTGCCGCACCACGAGCGTTCCAGCCCCCAAAAGCAGCACGACAAGAGGGATCAGGTAGGTCGCCTCCACTGGAGCTTGCAGGCCCTCCGCAATGTCCACAACCGGCGCTGCATCCGAGCTGGGCAGCGTCGCACGTGCGGCGGGGCGCGAAGACCTTGCGCCACGTCGTCGAGCCAGCGGCACGCGAGCCACAGCTGTCAAGGTGGTCACGGCATCCATCGCCGCGCTGTCGCCTCCAGCGCAGCGATGCCGCGCAACGGGTCGGCAAGCAAGCATGATCGAAACGACCCGTGACTGGGAGCGATGCCAGCTCGCGCGGAGGAGAAGATGTAGCGCTATCCTCGGGGCTCAGTGGCACACTTGCTTCCGCTGGGGGTGTGCGCTCGCCCCGCCCGGCTGCGTGAGTGATCACTGCGCCATGATTGCACCAAGCACGCCACTAGTGGCGCGGCTGGCCCGCCCAGGGCGGCCCTGGACCCCCCCGGGGGGGGCGGCCCAGTCCCCTGTCTTCCGTGTGATTCAATCATGGAAGTTCCCCGTCATCATACAGTATGATGTCATACGGTATGATACACTTCAAATAGGCCGGCATCATGAACGTATTCGCGCTGGTTACCGCGATAGTACGCAATACGAGTTTCCACGCAATATGAGAAAAAAGGGAAAGCTAGCGTATACGTACATCATCATGAGAGCGTTACGCATTGCGAGTTGGCGCGCACCGACCCTGGTGCCGGCTATCGTGCTAGTATTGTTGTTGTTTATAGGCTTTCAATCGGAGCTTAAGTCAGGATTCTCCCCAGCGGGCTCTCGAGGGTCAGATGGTCCCAAGCTCCGACTGGTCATTCTCACCCAGAGGCGTGTGGAAAGCTTTTTGAGGCTCCTGAAGTCCATACGGGATAGCGAAAGCCTGACGGGCGTCACGCAGGTTGACATTTTCGTGGATGGTTGGCGGGACCGTCAAAGCAGCGAGACGCTGGCGGCGCTTCACAGCACGGTGGCCGAGTTTGAGCGGAATGTCGCGCCGATTCCGGTGGAAATGCACGTCAGACTTCAGCAGGATGGGTTGAGGATGTCGTGGTGGTCAGCTTTCTATCCCGTACGGGACGACGAGTATGCGTGGGTGCTCGAGGACGATCTACAGATTTCTCCTTTTGGCATCCCGCTCACCATGCACGTCCTCCGGACGTTGCACGACCGAGCGCGGGATGATCCGGACCTCCTGAAGATGATGCTTCTGTGCTCGCACAGGGTTGTCATGACCGAAGGCGTCTCGACCCGGCTCTCTGCATGGCCTGCCTTCTGCCCATGGGGTCCGGTGTTGGCACCACGGCACTGGCGGGAGTTTCAGCACTGGCTACGGGACAAGTATGTGGAGACGTGTTTCGCGCCGTACACTCCGGGAGTACCAGAAGTCAATCACTTCTGGTTTTCTGGCAGCAACGAGCCGGAGAGTATGGCATGGCGGTACATTTACGAGCGCGGCCTGTTCTCCATCGGGATCGAAGGCCTGGGGCTAGCGATCAATCACATGGAGGTCGGCGAAAACTATCCAGTCCCGCAGACACCCGTCATGGACCTCATCACCACGGCGGAACAGGCGGAACAGTTTCGCATGGCAGTAGACGAGCAATTGCGCATCTCCGACTTGACGTACCGAGACGGGACATTCGATCTTCGGGATCGAGACTACGCGTTCAAGGAGATGATGGTCCCCAAATCTGTACCCACACCAGAGGCCGACTTCATTCATCAAATCGAGCAGGAAGTGAGGGAAAATTTCGAGTGGTACACGAGCGAGAGTGCGCCCAATCATCGGTGCCTGCCGATGCCATTGACAGTCGAACTGCCACGCGAGAAGGAGAGCGGCAGCGAGCAACGTCATTAGCCGTTCACGGCAGAGCATCCCTCATGGAACATATGACATCGTGGCCAAGGTTGCTACGCACTCACGGCGAGACGCTCGTGTGTGAATCAGTCCCCAGCGACGCGCAAAAAAGGCTCCGAGAAGTCACACGACCAGTCGAAGGGGTGGCCAAACACAACAGCAGCGATAGAGTACCCGCACGCGAGACAGCAAGGCCATCATGCGGCCCGCACCCCTATCTCTGCCTGCTGTGCTCGGCTAGCGGCAATCTAGCAGTAGGCAACTTGCCGAACTGGTTGGCTCAGGTCAGACTGACACCTCGTGGTGGTCGGCCCGGCATCGTCTCCTCCCCATCCTAATGAGTGGTCAGCATGATACATGGTAGGGAAGAACGGGAGTGCATAGTGAAGGGGGGAATTATACGAGGTTGCACAAAGTATCGGGAACAAAAGGGTTGACAGCGATCGGTCCCGCGGCGCGCCGAGACAACGGGCCGAGGCTCGGCCCGAGCATTGGACTGAGCTCCAACGAGGACACAATTCGGGTGAGGTTGGTGCGGTTGGCTGCTGGATTTTGGTGGCAAGGGCGAGGTCTGTTGGCACCGTGAAGCGCTTTGTGCGCAACGAGGTCACAGGAGACGTGGGCGTCGAGGTCACACTCGCACAACCAACGGGCACCGGAGAACGGGTGAAGTTCGACTACATGACCAGCAGCATCTAGCACGTGTTCATGACAGTTCATGCACAGCAGAATGAAATGTGTGCTCGCACAGCCAATTTCCGCTGCACGCTGCGCACGCAACGACGGAACACATAGAGCAGGGCAACACGATCGCGGCGCCGCGGGCGGTGTTCCTGCACATGAGAACGGCGTTCGTCCCGGGCCACCTCCACGTCGCACTGTTCGGGCGCGGAGGCAAAGCAGCTGCGCATCAGTCGACTGGGACCGCGAAGCGTACAGGAGAGCCATCGAGGCCAGCCGGCCCAGCCACCGAGCGCTGGAGGCCATTCGCGAGGCCTTGCAGCGAATGCGCCAGCAAATGGAATCGATGTGAAATGCAACCAGGCCGAAACATGTCTGGCACCAGCGACCAGCGACTCGCCTCGTCTCGCCAGTGCAGCTAACGACCCGCCGACGACGACGGTGGTCCTGCCAACGCCGCCGAATGCGCGACACCGAGCTACGAGACTTTTGTGAGCCGGGGAGATAAGCCACGCCGCCAGCGCCGGGGCGTGGTACGACGGCGCGTGAACACGACCGGTCCCGTGCGCTCGTTTTCGCGCGGAGCATACCCACGCGTCGTGGCGGGTGCCTCCTCCACGTAGCTGACGTTCCAGCGGCGGCTCACGTTGCCATAAGTAGTCGGAAGGTCAAGCTCGACGACGTTGGGTCCATGAGTGGCGACGATGGTGAGTGGTCCCACGAGGCGGTCGCGTAGCTTGCCTTTCGAGACAGCTTGCGGCACGCGTAGATGCTTGGTTGATAGAAGAACTTGCTGGCCGACGTAGAAGTCGCCTGGTCGGCGCGTTGTGCTGTTCACGGCCACCTGCCAGCGGCTTGCTCAAGTGCTCGTCGCGCGGCCCGCTGGGCACGGTAAAACGAACGAAGGAATCGCGATTCCTTCCTTCGTGTAAATGCGGCGTAGCCATGCTGCAGGGGTCGTATCGTCGACAGAGTTCAGGATAGACGTTGCAATGAGGTGTGACGCGTCCGTTGGGTGTTGTCCGCCGGCGGCGTTCAGAAAAAAGGGTGTGTAGCCTGTAGCTGCGGTGTTGTTGTAACAGAACTAAGCAATTGAGAGGTGCAACAGCCAGTCATTGCCTTCGTAGTTGACGAACGCACGTAACATGTTCTGAGCGGACTGGTTGGAACGCTCTGCTTGTCCATCAGACCGAGGGTACTATGGAGTCGTGAAGTTCAGCTTCAAGCTGAACAAGTTGGTACCCATGCGACGGATCGCGGAACTCCAGAACTCGCCAACGGATCGAGGGTCTCGATCCGAGTTGAAGGTCGTCGGTAGCCCATGTAGCCGGTAAATGTGTCAAATGTGTTGAAACAAAACAGCGCACTCCTCTGAAGTCGGGCGCGGCCTCCGCAGCTAAGATAGCATACCGCCCACCTTGAGGGCGGACGATGGAGCGTGCCAGAATCACGCCGGGAAGTGGCGAAAAGGACGGACCAAGCACTTCAAACCTCCTTACAGGGATGCCAAAGAGGAAGGAAGACCCCCGCTGCGGGCAAGGACGCCTGCGGATAGCCTGCGTCTCTCCGCGCCCCGGATGGCTCGCGCGCGTGCCGGACCTGAGCGCGCGCCAGTTGTTGTCGTGCGAGTTCTGCCTCGAGAAGGAAGAGCCGCAGCCGAAAGAGTATTTCGTCACGCCCGGCCTCCGGGCGCGGGCGCGTGTGAGTCAGGTCCCGGAGCTCTTCAGTCGGTTCCTTATACGCACTCCGAGTGACGAGTCGTCATGCGTGGCTCACCATGATGGCTTGCGTATCACCGGGTCTGTGAAGTTGTGAGTTCGGGGTCTCCCCAGGAGTGTCGCCGGCCGACGCCTTCAGGACGCCGGGGTAGTCCTTGCGTCGAGTACCGGCACGCACGCAGCAATCGTCATTGACAACAGACTCGACCCATCTGCAGGTGTGTTGCACTTCACCAACACGGCTGCTCTGCTGACTTCATGCGAGCGTGTTCTCCATCACTGTCCTTGTTACACCACCCTTTGATTAGTCTGTGATCGTCTAGCTTGCATTCTGCTTGATAGGATTCCATTTCATGCTCAACGTTAGGCCCTGGCAGGCGCTGACTTCGCCAGGCCTGGCCATGGGCTGCAGAACTGAGTTCAACTCACAGAACCCGGGGTGGCCACTGCCCACGGCGGCCAGTGGCCAGGCCAGAACATCGGAGAAGGAGCCCCGGTATGAAAGAGCAAAATGGGCGACCCATTCCAAACTTTGCCCCCCCCGGGGCAATCTCCGGGTCAGTATTACTGAGTGACCTTCACCCGACCTCCGCACTGCAGCTACACTGCGCGCAGATCTCACGAGGCGCTCATATACATATCCAAGCGCAAGGATTGCGATTGAGCCGTGAGGGGACACCAACCTCCTTCACTTACGACGAAATCACGCGCTTGGCGAAATCCAACGGATCAGCCAGGTGCGACGGTCAGCGAAATGCGATGTTGGCGGCTGCGATCGATACAGTGGGCAGGCTGTAGCGGCAAGAAGAGAGAGCAGAGCACCACGGCAGCGCAGGGCTAGCAACAGCGTTTCAGGGTCGCGGGGCGTGAGTGTGGCATCGCGCGCCAGGCCGAGCAGCACGAAGCTGGCCAGTACATCCGTGGGGCCATCAGGGCCGGGGATTGCCGACGGACAAAGCATGCGCGCTTTGCGGGGAGTGAGCTGGCTCTGCACGGACTGACGAAACCCTCTGTGGGGAATACTGCGGCTGTGCAGGAAGCGGGGCTGATCAATATGGCGAGCAGCAGCACGGTGACGCGCACGAAGCCGCAGCAGGAGCGGAACAGGGTGCTGGTGATGGGTGGTGCAGGCTTCGTGGGCAGCCACCTGTGCGATTACCTCGTGCAGCGCGGGGATCACGTAATTTGCGCAGACAACCTCTTCACAGGCAGCAAGTCCAACGTGTCCCATTTGATGGGCTGCGAAAACTTTGAATTCGTCCGGCACGACGTCGTACAGCCCTTGCTGCTGGAGATTGACCAGGTGTACCACCTGGCCTGTCCAGCGTCGCCGATTCACTACAAGTACAACCCGATCAAGACATTGAAGACGGCATTCATTGGCACGCTGAATATGCTGGGTCTCGCCAAGCGCTGTGGGGCACGACTTTTGCTGGCGTCCACGTCCGAGGTGTACGGCGATCCCCTGGAGCACCCGCAGAAGGAGACCTACTGGGGCAACGTGAATCCCATCGGGGAGCGCGCGTGCTACGACGAGGGCAAGCGCGTGGGCGAGACGCTGGCCATGGACTACTACAGGGAGCATGGTACGGAGGTGCGGATTGTCAGGATATTCAACACTTACGGCCCAAGGATGGCCCTGGACGACGGGCGCGTGGTATCGAACTTTGTGGCCCAGGCGCTGCGCGGGGAGAACCTGACCGTGTACGGCGATGGATGTCAGACGCGCTCGTTCCAGTACGTCAGCGACCTGGTGGCAGGCCTGGTGCGGACGATGGACGGAGATCACATTGGGCCGTTCAACATCGGGAACCCGACGGAGTTCACCATGAACGAGCTCGCGCAGCTGGTGCGGTCCAAGGTCAACCCCGACGTGCAGGTGGTTTACAAGCAAAACACCGCAGACGATCCCAAGTGCCGGAAGCCCGACATTTCCAAAGCCAAGGAGCTGCTCGGGTGGGAGCCGACAGTCCCGCTGGAGGAGGGTCTGCCGCGCATGGTGGGCGACTTCCGCAAGCGGCTCGGACTGACGTGAGGACTCGCCTGTCGCTGTGATCATGACTGGCACACTGCAGGTCTGCCAGTGGCCTCTGCCACATAGGGGTCCAGAGGCTTGCCCAACCCATGCACTACGAAACCAATCTTTCGCAGCGCATCGCGGTTGAGTATCAGCCTGCCATCAAAAACGCTCGCCGGCTTCTCCATGAGCTCGTAGGCGCGTTCCCAGTCCACGGTCTTGAACTCGTCCCACTCTGCACAGGGATCTCGATGTCAATGGGGCCGAACATTCTCATCGTGCACCGCTTCCTCAATCTCGACACGTTGAGAACCAGCACTGACACTGCGCAGAACCACGCCTTGCATCGACAAACGCGCATGCCGCACCTGTGAGCACCAGCGCAGCATGAGCGCCCTTGGTCGCAGAAAGAGCGTCCCCGACCACATTTACGTGAGTTCGCACCGACTTGTTCCGTTCGGCCCGCACACTCTCCGCCAGCGGATGGTCCCACCACTCATGCACACTGGCATGTGCTAGGGCCGTCATAATATCTTGCTCCGAGACCTGGGGATCATACACTGCGATGTTGGCTCCTTCATCAAGGAGGCGCTTGCAAATGGCGATCGCAGGGCTCTCCCTCGTGTCTCCTGTATTCTTCTTGAACGCAAAGCCCAGAACTGCAATGCGCTTGCCACGAACCGTGTTGAAGAGCGTCGCCACGATGGCGTCGACGAACCGCTCCTTCTGGAACTCGTTGATCTTCAGGACCTGTTCCCAGTACTCAGCAACTGGTTTTAGGTTAAGTGTCTCGCAAATGTATACCAGGTTCAGAATATCCTTCTGGAAACAAGAGCCACCAAAGCCGACCGAGGCGTTCAAGAACTTGGGCCCGATGCGCGAGTCCATTCCAACGGACGTGGCAATTTCCTGGACGTCCGCACCAGTCGCCTCGCACACCGCGGACATCGCATTGATGGACGACACCCTCTGAGCCTGCAACAGAGCAAGCAGAATAACGCTGTGTGTGTGAGGAACGAGGGGCTGGTCCGGCGGGGAGAATGAAGGGGGCCGGGGCGGGGCCGGGGAGGCGCACCAGCATAGCGTTGGCAGTCAGCTTCGCTAATTCCGCACTCCAAATGGAAGACTTGAGAATGCGTTCCCGCGGAATCCACTCCGCGTATACGGATGCGAGCAATTCGCATGCTGCGGCACCCGCATCGCTTCGAGCGTGCCCAATCAGCACCCGGTCTGGCTTGAGCAGGTCATTGATTGCCGTGCCCTCAGCAAGAAACTCCGGGTTTGACAAAACCTGAAATTCCGCCTCCGGCGCGCACTTCGTCAGCACGCGCTGGATTGCATCCGCCGTGCGCACCGGCACTGTGCTCTTCTCCACCACCACCTTCTTGTCGCCAGCCTTGCAGCACGTCGCGATCAACCGAGCACAGCCCTCCCAGTACGTTAGGTCGGCCGCCTTCCCCGCGCCGATGCCGGTGAGCTTCGTGGGGGTATTGACGGCCACGAAGATCATGTCGGCCTCGGCCACGTACTTCTCCTTCTCGGTGCTGAAGAACAAGTTGCGCCCACGAGTCTTCTTGACCACCTCGTCCAAGCCTGGCTCGAAGATCGGCAAGCTGTCGGAATTCCATGCTGCACAGCATCACATAATACAGAACGATCCCACACATGTGAGCCGCCAGTCGCGTACGAGCACTCCTGTCTCAGCCCGCGAAGAAAGGGCAACGAGACGGGCAGCAGTCCAGACCGCGGCTGAAAGGACGTAAAACGTACCAGCGATGCGATCCTCGTTGACGTCGACGACGGTCACCGTATGGCCAGGGCAGCGATCCGCCATAATGGCCATAGTGGGCCCACCCACGTAGCCCGCTCCGATGCACACAATTCTCATAGTGGCTCTCTGCACGCCAGGGCATTCGGACAGGCAATCCTATCGCGACACCGTCTGATACGCACGTCATCCTACCTGCATTCCTGCGTGTCCCGCACCCCGCTGTGACGGAGGGACCGAGCTCCCCACTGCGGGCCACGCTCTCTGCTGCTCACCTGCCAGGCACAGTTGGCAACCACCACCAAGCTCTCCGTTCCGGCGAACTGGAAGAGGTAGCAGGAAATTTATTTCATCGCAGTCTACACAAACCACATTCGGGCGGTGATAAATACCGAGACCGGACTGTCGAATGTCCTAGGAGTCTCACACTGACAATCAGTGATTCAGTCGCAGCCCTGGGCGATGGGGAGTTGCCGTCTGGGGGGTAATGATCCGGGACCTGTTCGAGTTGGATTCAGTGTTTCCATCTGCGTCTGAGCAGCGCCGCAAATTGGCAAGGGGCGTTCACAGGGTTTTATGCCGCGTTTCGGGCGCACCATCAAGTCCACACACCAAGGCCCGTAGCGGTCCTGTCGCCCCTTTGTCACGTGGTCTGGGGCGACAACGTCGACTTTCGTGGACCTGCCTCCAGTTTCCGCGGCAGAAAATCGACGCTTGCGCGCCGAGAGCGCCGCACGAGGCTTCAGGCCGAAACCGCTGTCAGGGCCCGACGAGCCCCTCGGGACCGTTTGAGGGCGCGCCGCTGCGACCAGTGCAGTTTGCAGAACGATTCGTGCCGATTTTCTCCCCCAGCGCGCTCCCGGGGGGGCCGCTTACAGAGGTGACCCAATCCATGCTGGCGCGACGTGGCCCCTTTCGCAAATCGCGTTTGGAGCGGGTTTCGCGCGGCCCCTTGGATACTTTCAAGTTTCCTTGTTCTGTTTGCGGTTTGACATCGGTGTTCTTCGCAGTCATCGGGGAGAACCACCGGGACAGCCTGAGAGGCTCTGCGCCCCTGTTGAGGCCTGGGAGGCCTGCGGAAGCGGAGTGGGATGCCCTCGCACACCTGTATCATGTCCGAAGCCTGGTCATGATGCGGGGTCCTGCTCTGCGAGACGGCGAGGGCCGTTCCGGGGCATGTGCTGAAACGGGCAGCGCGAAACTTCACCGTCACTGCGTGCCAGTGCCGCTGCGCCTCGCGCGGACGCGCCTGCCTCCGCCGGGCTGCCACGTCGCAGGGGGTCGTGCGGCAGGCCACAGCGAGGGTGCGCGGGGCTAAACATGCTGTGTGACGCAGTGCCTTGGTGCAAACTTTCATGTGTCGTTGGTCACTGCATCCTCCGCGACATGCTCGCGAGCATGTGGTCAGACGCTTGCGCATGCATCGGGCTAGGCCGTGCAGGGCGACTCGCACACGGCGTGCCCCAATTGGTGGCTCCAGAGGGCGGCAAAGATTTGCATGTGCCGAGGCAACGGGCCCCCCAGGCCCATTTCACGATGCAGCCACGATGGCGCGTTCGTGAGTCGCTCCTGTGCAGCCATTGTCGAAGAGACGCTGTTTACGCACAAGGGCAAGCGCTGAGGCGCAGAAGCCGTCGCGCAGGCACGCATGAAACTTATGGCTCTAGACCTGCGTCATCCTCTTCCGTGGAGGCAGCAGATCGGCCGGAAAACTAATGAAGCCCTCGTTGTGGTTACACATGCGAGCGTCGCGGATTCACTTCTGCATGAGGCCCAGTTCGCGCCCTCCAGGAGCGAAGACCTTGATGGCTGGCATCCGTGGCGCCCCGCACGCCACACAGGGACGACATTCTCGGATATCTGCATACTTGCTGCTTGAGACGGTCAGTATCGCGCTATTCGCAGCTTTCTCGCCACGCTTCGGCGTCACATACCGGTGCGCCAGAGCACAGAGCACGCCCAAGGCAATGGCCGCTCACGGGTCCAGATCGAATCGCTCGCCGCGGATCGACCCAGAATCTCCGAGAACTAGTCAGTTGTATCAGGTGGAATGTACATTTGGCGGCTTTTATTGAGAAAAACCAGGCACTTGGGAGCAAGGGTGCAATGAGGCACTGGCATCGCCTTGCGCTGTCCGTGCAGGAGGTGCATCCTGGGTTTTCGCCCATCACTCGCCGATGCTCAATGATAGCAACTTCCAGTCGCGGTCCATTTTGACAACTCGCCCTGTGCTGCCCGCACGGCGCGCCGAAGCCCCATGAAGGGGGGGTACGTGCACTTCGAGCCGCCGTGCGTCCTCATGCGAGCACGATACAAAAATGGACGGCGGGTGGAGGGGGTCCGTACACTTGTCCATCGCATGAGCAACATGATTGATCGGTTGGTTCCTTGCACGGACAGCGCGAGGGCACGGAAGCGTTTTGGTAAGCAGTTTGCTACCAAATGTAGCCCCGCGCACCTTGCTTGGTGCAGTGCCTGGCCTCAAAGCGGCACGAGACTCTTGCGGTGAGTCAGGAGATTGAGCTCGCATGCTATGATGGCCCGATAATCACATGTGTGAGGCGCTGGGGGGGCCAAAATCCCAGTCGGTCATGCAGCTGCAGACGGCAACACCCCACGGCGAGACCTCCTGGGCTGCCCAGGAGGTCTCGCGCGAGATGCGAAACTCTCGCCGAAACCTTCCTTTTAAACAGTTTAGCACTCAAGCACTGTCTGACAAAGAAATCGGCCGTATCCCTGCTCGTAAATCATCTAGCAGTGATTTACCGTGACCGATGAAGCGGCTGCGCGTTCCCAGGCGTGCACCGACCCTGGTGGCGCCTATCGTGGTCGCTCTGCTAGTTCTGATCGGTCTCTTCTCGCGGACGCAAATGGGATCCAGCTTGGCGGGATCTGAGGGGTCAGATGGTCCCAAACTCCGACTGGTCATTCTCACCCAGAGGCGTGTGGAAAGCTTTTCGAGGCTCCTGAAGTCCATACGGGACAGCGAAAGCTTGACGGGCGTCACGCAGGTCGACATATTCGTGGATGGTTGGCGGGACCGTCACAGCAGCGAGACGCTGGCGGCGCTTCACAGCACGGTGGCCGAGTTTGAGCGGAGCGTTGCACCGATTCCGGTGGAAATGCACGTCAGACTTCAGCAGGATGGGTTGAGGATGTCGTGGTGGTCGGCGTTCTATCCCGTACGGGACGACGAGTATGCGTGGGTGCTCGAGGACGATCTACAGATTTCTCCTTTTGGCATCCCGCTCACCATGCACGTCCTCCGGACGTTGCACGACCGAGCGCGGGATGATCCGGACCTCCTGAAGATGATGCTTCTGTGCTCGCACAGGGTTGTCATGACCGAAGGCGTCTCGACCCGGCTCTCTGCATGGCCTGCCTTCTGCCGATGGGGTCCGGTGTTGGCACCACGGCACTGGCGGGAGTTTCAGCACTGGCTCCGCGACAAGTATGTGGAGACGTGTTTCGTGCCGTACACTCCGGGAGTACCAGAAGTCAATCACTTCTGGTTTTCTGGCAGCGACGAGCCGGAGAGTATGGCATGGCGGTACATTTACGAGCGCGGCCTGTTCTCCATCGCGATCGAAGGCCTGGGGCTATCGATCAATCACATGGAGGTCGGCGAAAACTATCCAGTCCCGCAGACACCCGTCATGGACCTCATCACCACGGCGGAACAGGCGGAACAGTTTCGCATGGCAGTGGACGAGCAATTGCGCATCTCCGACTTGACGTACCGAGACGGGACATTCGATCTTCGGGATCGAGACTACGCCTACAAAGAGATGATGGTCCCCAAATCTGTACCCACACCAGAGGCCGACTTTATTCATCAAGTCAACGAGGAGGTGAAGGACAATTTCGAGTGGTACACGGGCGAGAGACCGAAGCCGGAGCCGACCGGTGAAGAGGAGGAAGGAAACGAGGGGCAATTCAGGGAGCAAACGCGCGAACCTGCCTACTTTTGCCTGGAGAATCCGATGGTGCTACCGGGAGAGGAGGTTGAGAGGGCAGCATGGCTTCCGACCCTTACAAGTGCGCGCGTGGCGGATCGCACGCACCACCTCGGTACTGAAACGCGATCCAGCGTAGCCGTGCTGGTTGTAGGGCAGCTGCGGCCGCCTGGGAGGAACTTTGGGGCGAACAACCCACCTGAGTGCACGTTTGACTCGGCAATCGAGAACATCGTTCGAAAGTACGAGGCGGAGTTGTTGACAGTATCCTCGTATGGACCAGGGTTTACAGACGTGGAGGCACGGAAACACGGGGCTGTCGCAAACGCAGACGCATACGTACTCTATGACACAGGGTAAGCAGCTACAGTGTTTTTTTGTTCCTCTCATAACAGGGAGGGGATGGCAGCCGCGGTATGCTAACCTATGCGCGGCAACATGCGTGTCGCAGGCCCTTTGATGACATCGTGGCAAGGATCGCGTCTTTCGCTGGCTATGAGGTCCCAGACTGGACGAAGTACTTCGCGTGGGCCGGGCCGTGGGTTGGGCCTTACGGGCCTGAGGGTGCGGGCCTCAGCCTGCGCATCGCCTGGTATCTCGGGGCCTTGCTTCTCCTGCACGTAGAAAATGGTCGCGCCCGGCCGTATGACTGGGCGGTCATGATCAGGCCCGACTACTGCTGGAGTGCCCCAGCGCCCCCCATAGCGGACCTCGAGCCGGATGTTGTGCACATCCCCGACGTCGGTACGGTCCTCTCGCGCCCCCTTACATGGCAATGTGCAGGACGGATGGCATTACCCAAGAGGGTTCACGCCGCATGTGTTCCTCGGATCGACGCCCTGGCCGGTGATGTGTTTGATCCTCACCGTTCCCCGGCTGACAACTGCAGACCACTGGGGCGGGCTGTTTGACAGGATGCTCGTGCTGCCCCGCAGTGCCATCCTCGACACGCTGAAGGCACCCATGGAGGACCTGCTGCAGCAGACGAAACTGCTCGAGTACCTTTACAGCCTTGACCTGCCCACGGTGAACTTCAACTCGGAGATTTTTCTGAAATTGACGTTGCGGCGATATGGCCACCGGGTCAAGTTGTTCCCGCCGTTCGGCTTCCTTCAACCAGACCCCCCGGAGGAGCTAGAGACGGCACAGCGCATCGCGAAGGAG